CCCCAAAACCCCAAAACCCCAAAACCCCTATTTTATGAATTATTTCTCAAAATAATTACTTATTAGGGCTCTCAAGGCTTTTGTGATCTTCTGGTTTTTGGGGAAGAAGGCTGGCAAGCCTTTTCTAGCAGGACTTTTTGAGAAGTTTATGAGGGATTTCTTGCTTTTAGTCATTATTCTCATGCCTACTTGGTTGGGAGAAGAATCTTTCCCTTTTCCAGCAGGCAATTTGGCCTGACTTGTTGAATTCATAGAGGTAGTTTCGATCGCAGCTAAGCTATTTTGCTTACTCGGAAGATGCTGAGAAGAAATATCACTCCTTTGAATATTCTGGTAAGCACTGAAATCATGTAGATTCAGAGCAGCATATTTTCCTGTACTAAGAGGAGGCTCAGGAGGAAGTTCATTGTACAAAACAGACTTCTTTTTCGAGATTAGTTTAGTCTTCTTCAATCTCTCTAGAGCCGAACAGTAATAGCCTGAACTATGGATATTTGAATAAGCATTCAGTTCTTGCTTGGATGTAGAATTTATCGCAGTTTTGTGCCTCCTGTGGCTCAGTTTGTCCGGTATTTTCTTAACTGATTTGGGAGATTTCTTAATTTTATCAGATTCTGCTAAGTTATGTTCTATAGTTTAAAGAGCTAACTTACTGACTGAGCTAGTCATGTTGAGTCTTTTATTCTTATTCTTGTGATCAGAAGTAGTGAATAATTTGTATTCATGAGTCTTAAGTGTAAGATCCTTGTTAATTAGTCTTGAAATTGTTCTGGCTTTCGCCTTAGAAGGTAAAGTAATAGTGTCTGGCTGAAGGTCGAGCATAGTCTCTAGTGCTTTTTGAGCTCTTATAGACTGGGTGTTCTTGATACGGTGCTGCCAAGTGTCTCTTGGTATCACTGATTGAAATCTTTCTTTGTTACTCTTTTTTATAGGGGACCTTTTTACCAGCTCTAAATCTCCAAGTGCTTGTAAACCATCTACATAAGGCTCTGTGGCTATCGAAGAGACTTTGCCCTTGCTCCTTGAGGCTTTTGTTATTTTACTGGTATAGCTAGTTGAATGCATAAAATCTTTATCGCCTATTTTATGAAACTAATGTCATACTTTTCCATTTTTCAGGAGAATAATCTCTCCATTTAGGATTATGTAGCAGTTTTGTGTTTAGAGGTATAAATTCGAAGAGATTACTCTTGTTTGGAGGTAACTTGAACTTCATTTGGTCTCTATGGACTTCTTTAAGCTTATCTCTGGTCCGTGTTGCTTTCTCTCCTGGAGAAGAGTACATTCCACTATTGAGGGTTTTCATCTAGGAATAGGTAATTCACAGGTAAAGTGAAAATCTTTAGCTTACATTCGAAAACATTATGGTGCGATTCTTAGAAGGGTTAAATCCACTTTGACTCATATCGATGTCCCTGAATGTGTGATGTTCTGGGTTATTTCAGCGGAATAGAGCCATTAAAGAATTTTTTGTTGAAGTTCACACTATGAGCAGCATCTATAGTCCATTCTTCCCTCCTCTCATGAGCCATACGAGCCATCATCATTGTCTTATTCTTCTTCCTCTTCTCTTTAAGTATGATTCTTTTCTTCTGATCAGCTGTAAGAGGATTTGCTGCAGGACTTTTAGAGTGTCGAAAGGCGCTGTACATTTTTATTCAATTATATTTCTCCTAAAAGGGGTTTTGGGGTTTTGGGGTTTTGGGGTTTTGGGG